ATAGAAACTCTATCCTTCTCTGACCCATTCCCAGAGCCCAGGCTGCAGGAGTTGTGTACTATCAAATATGGGAAGTGTTTCTGACTACACACTAGTTGGGTTGTAGTATATCAGAAAGTCCTTTACACACTTGTATGTAAGTACACACAAATCCCAGAACACAAATACAAGGGTGACATCCTCATTATTCAAATTTTCTCAGCAAAACAAATCACATTTTTAGGATCTCTACTAAAGTGGCTGTGACCCACAGATTGAGAATTGCTGTTCTATACCCTGGCATTCTCCTCTTTCCTAGTGATCCTTTCCCTACTTGGCCAGTGTATTTCACAATACAGTCAGTACCACAAGCAGTTCCTCCACATCCAATATTACAGATTATTGAGAGGGAAAATGACAGAACTCACTGACCTACTGTGTCATTTGCTTGGATTACTGAGGGAAAGGGACATGTCTGGAAAGATAGAATTCACTAATGAAAAACTGTACAATATAGGCAAGTAGTGCATTGAGATTAGAATTGAATGGGAAAATATCTTGATTGAAGCTTAGGGTCTTTGGTTTCTTCTCTCTGGAAAATACAACAGGCATATTACTTGGGCTTCAGCAGGCTATGAGTAGCAGGCTGGGACCTATTATTTTGAAGTTTATGGGAGTATTATGCCTCAACTTGGTGACCTGAAGCTTAGTCAAGGAATTAATCCCAAGTATCTCCTGCTGCTTCCCAAATGTATCTGAGTGGATTTTCAACCCTGGCTGCTCATTAGAACATTCTGGAGTCATTAGATATTTCAGAAGCCAAAAGCCATTTAAAAGAAAGTGGATTTAAAATTTCTCTTAATACCCAAGGTTATTCCAAAGAGCATGCAGGTGGAGTTCAGATAACGCCAGGATATAACTACATTGATAAGTAAAAACTGGAGAGGAAAAGTGAAAGTTCAAGGTCACATAACCACTGAATAACACAGCTGACATTGATGAAATATTTACTACAAGTCAGCAATTTCTCTAAGTGTAATATATGACTTCACTTCTGAAAAATCTGTGTATGTACTGTGAGAGCACGCTGAATGTATCGTATGATACGCGTATGTGAAAGGTTGTCATAGGAAAACATCACAGTAGCCGTATTGGTATGCATATCCAAAATGAAGTCTCAGTTCTTTCTCCTTAGAACTATGAAGTAAGGATACCACCTAATAATTCTGACATCTCCATCTTGGATGTGTCCAACAAGGACAAGGGAACATGGCTGTCATTATCACAGAAAGGGCAACTGACAACTCCAGAGACAGTAAGATTTATCTTACCTGTGGCTTACTGAATGCTAGTCTTTCAGCAATTATCTGGGAAGTCATTTAACCTGGAAAATTAGGTGAAGTTACATACCTTATACAGAAGAGGAAACTGAGGTCCAAATTCAATAAGATACCCAATGTTGTACAATTGTGATTCTACAAGGATTTGGGTATGATACTGTACCAGATGGTATACAGTGGACAATTTCTTTCCTCTAAAGAATCTGTGATCATCACCATGACACGAAAAGCACATGGATGCTGAAAAAGACACTCTGTCCTCTTCTCTGCTCTGTCTTAGAGGCCATTTACTGTGCCGACAATTTCATTTACCCTGCCACTGACTCTGCCTCTTCATCACTTAGGATATGAATTGAAATATTCTAAATCAAATTTCTATTCCAGATGGCTCCAGACAGAAGGCTCTTGTTATAGAGCTCTGAGGCTCCTGTAGACCCATCTTTCTCCTTCTCACATGGACAGATCACAGTCTCAAAATGGGCACAGAGGGCAGTTCCATAGGTGTATGCTGTTCACAGAATATGTTGTAAGTAGCATAGCATGTATGCTGTGTTATTCTATGAGGCAGAGTGATATAGCCAAATATTGATCCTTTCTCACCTGCTGCCTTTATGAAACTTGAGGTATTCATTTCTAAAGGAAACAAGTGCCCTCTCCCCTATAGCACATGCTTAGGGAGAAAAATGCAATAACAGAGATGTCACACATAGCACAATGCTGCTTTCTTCCCCTTCTCCTACCTACTTGCTCTTCAAGGGAATTGTTAGGGCAAAATACATGGTAGGTGAAGCTTGTATCACTGGAAGCTAGGGATTGCATCTTACCTGAGCCACTTGGTGATTCTGATTGCTAAGCATTGCAGAAACTTGAATTTCAGTGAAAAGATTTATGATATCTACAGAGTCATTATGAAACCTTTCTCAATATGTCCCTTTTTTGAGGATTTGTGAGAAGACTTGCAATTACCATACCAATGTGGAAAATGATAATATTCTTATGAAATAATTAACCCTTAAAGGTATCAGGCCTCTTCCATAGGGCATGTGCCTTATATCCAAGATGGCTGTTACATGAGTTAATCCACATTTATACTGCATACAAGAAAACAAATGGAATATTGATTTAGAATATCTCTAGCTGTAGGAATATTATGCTTTAACTTTACACAGAGAATGATTCTGTTAAAATATGTGTTACAATATGAGTATAATTTACATGGTGATCAACTTCCTTTTGTTATATTTTATTAAATTTTTTGGTTTTTTAGACAGGGTTTCTCTTTGCAGCTTTGTAAATCAGGCTGGCCTCAAAAATCACAGAGATCTTCCTGCCTCTGCCTCATGAGTTCTGAGAAGAAAGGCATGGACAACCACTGTCTGTCTTTGGGGTAACATTCTAATCACTACTGAATACTGTCATCTGTGTGAGCAACATCTTAAAGCATGGGGGGATATGATGATGAATCAAAATGCTGGCATCTAATTTCAGAAAAGTCTACTTCAGGATCTCTTATGTACCTGGATCATATGGAGATATGATGTCTCTGAATCGAATAACAAAAAGCTAATGTGGATTCAGGTGTGTGTTCCAGGGCAGACCCCAGCACTTAGGGGCTAGGGGATTATTCACAGGGCACTGAAACACAAGGGTCTTTTCTTAACATGGCTGGAATGGATAATCTGAATGTCCGTCATGTTGCAAAAACCCCAGAATCAAGAGCTAGAGAGATAGAATCCAGCCCTCTGTCAGGAAATTTAAAGTGAGTATCCTGTTGTCTCAGCTAGTGATTAGAGTTTGTCTAGTTGGGCACACTCTCCAGGATACCTGCTTACATTGTTCAGAAACTTCAGTGACTCTCAGAGCTTGTTCCTGACAGAAGACAATTCCAAACAGACACATGACAAAACCTAGCTTAGTACTCTCATCTATAAAAGGGCTGAGAGATTCAACAGTGAATGCAGGCATATCCTGAAAATTCTCAGTGTTCTGTGGATGAAGGACAAATTAAAAAAGCACACATAGCCATGCCCCTCTCATTTTCTGTGATGATGTGATTTCTTCTTGTGAGAGAAGAGAAACACATCTTGCATAAAGAGCTCCTGCTTTCCTGCTTTCTGACATCTCCATTGACATCTAGAGTAGAACCTGGCACAACTATGCCCTAGAACTTTGGCTAGAATGAGAAGACTTATTTGTGTGAAGAAATCCACTCTGGAGGTAGTAGGCAAGGTCTGACTGTGTCACTGGACAATACAGGCATCACTTAGGGTCTTTATGCACCCACCATGCTGGAACAGATTGAAAAAGGTAAGAACTGCTGGATAGGCAGACAGGGGTATGGATTTACTACCATATATCAGAATGGGGAAATCTAGCAAATAACAAGTCCAAGCATCTGTTTTCTTGCTTCACAATTGGGGTAATGTCACCTTATGAACATGAGAGTCACTTACAGACTTTCTTCTTCTTCCTAGCTGTTCACAGACTCTTGAACACAGTTTGACCTGGTGCAGATATGAGGGATGGAGAAGACAATGCAGTACTCACCATGCACATACAACATTGTGCCTCCCCCAGACTTAAAGACCTCGTCAACTGCTGAATTTTGTATCTTCACACAGTAGTAGGTACCAGCATCAGCGGGTGTGACATTACTGATGCGGATGGAAAAGTCCATGTTCTTCCTGTTTGAAGCATCTGTAACATTTGTGATTCTGGGGAATGACTCTCCTGAGAACCTATACATAAGTTGCCGATGTTGCCCTGCATTCCTGTACCACACAATGGGTCCCACAGGGAGCAGTGAGGTCACAGTGCAGGTCAGAGTGGCTGACTCTCCTGGAGAGACAGAAACTGATTCCTCAGGCTGAATCACCTTCAGCTCCTCCGGGGGTACTTCTGTAGGAAACAACAGTTAATGCTCATCATAAAGGGAACCTGCCTGCATGCATGTGATCATGGTTGCCCTCACCTGGGTGTCTATAAAATATAGCAAAAATGAGGAAATGAATCAGAGAGACACTGAAAACATGGCAGTATTATGTTTGAAGTCCCAATTATGTTTGAAAAGCTCTTGCTTCCTCTAGTATCTGTTTTGTTTTGGTTTTCTGTACACATGGCATGAGACACTCCTTGTGTTTTAGATGTGATTACTTGACTCTTTTAATCTAGTGAGATGTAAATTTAAGACTAAATGCTTTGTATGGTTAGTTTGATGTACATTTGATTACAAGATTCTCAGAGTTCCCAGGTTCACAATAGGGTTGATTTACCTATTGTAGGGATAATACCATACATAGCTCTCAATATATAGTAATATATACCTTAATTAGGGAAATAAAGCCACAGTTTAAGTTGTCAGTTTTTAAAATATGTTATAATCATATTAAAAAATCAATTATTTGAATAGTTTATGTGTATTGATGCTTTGCCTTTAGGTATATATTTGTATCTAATGCATGCCTGGTGCTCAAGTAAGGCAGGAAGTTGTGTCAGATTCCCTCTTTCAGATTTTAGAGATGGTTCTGAGTCACCAAGTGCATGCCATATATAAAACATTGGTTCTCTAGTAGACTAGAAAGTACTCTTAAATCTTGACCATCTCTCCAGACCCAGCATTATACACTTCAAGAGTGATGTAACATATTATTATAAAATCAGTCTTTTAACACAACAGATACATTTTATTTAATGTTTTGGAGGTCAGAAGTTCTAATTGACTGTGACAAGGCAATTTACATGTTGTCATAGCACCCCACTCTACAAGAGGCCCTATTTCTTTCCTTACACATGATGTGGTCACCTGGATGTCTAGTCCTATGTCACCTGTCTTCCCAAATTTGTACCCTCTTTGCTCAGTAACTTGACTCCCACAATTCTGACATTTCTTTCCTCTCTTCTACCAGAGATTTGGTGAACTGCTATGACTGACTTGTATTTCCCTGTATTATTCTAAAGGAACAAGACAATACAAGATTTATATGAAACATGAAAAAATCAAAAGTATAGACAAGTACTAAGGAAAGTAGAGTCTGGATAACAAAATAAGAATAGCAAATTGAAAGAAACTGAGAAGGAACACAATGGTATTGTAGAGTGGAAAAGTACAAAAATTAGAAGTGCAATGGACAGGGTCGACAGGTAATTTAGCTGATTCTAAAAAAACTGGTATAAAATCTAGGAAATGGATTCAATGACATTACTCAGTCAGCACTGCAGCACAGGGATACAATAAAGAGAAGAATTTGGTAAGATGGGTAATATTATTGGAAAAATATGCTGCCTCATCTTCCTCATCTTCTGGAATAGATCAAATAGAAGAAGTATAAATCCAACACACTGACATAATTTAAATTGTGATTATATCAGAGACCCACACCAGTACAAATCATAATCCACCTGACTGATGTAAACACAGATGAAACAGAAGAGAATGACCTTAAAAACAACTTCATGAAGATAATAGAGACCCTCAAAGAATAAATGAGAAAATTCCTTAAAGAAATTGAAGAAAAACAGACAAAAATTCAAGAAACGGTGGAAAAGACAAACCAAAAAAATGCAAGAAACAAATCCCTTAAAGAAAGCAAGGAAAGTCAAGAAAAAACAACCAAATGAGTGAAAGAAACAATTTAAACAGTTCAAGGCTTGAAAGGTGAAATAGACAATAAAAAAACACATATTCTGAGAAAATGCTGGAAACACAAAAGCTGGATAAATAATCAGGAAACACAGATGCAAGCATAATCAGCAGAATACAAGAGATGGAAGAGAGAATCTCAGATGTTGAAGATACACTATCAGAAATAGATTCATTGACTGAAGAAAATCTTAATTCAAACCAATCCCTAAAAAAAATATCCAGGAAATATGGGACACCATGAAAAGGCCAAATCCAAGAATAATAGATATAGAAGAAGGGGAAGAAACACAACTCAAATGTGCAAAAAACATATTCAACAAAATCATAGAAGAAAACTTTAACAACCTAAGGCAAGACATGGAAATTAAAGTACAAGAAACTTACAGAAAAAGAGACTGGACCACAAAGAAGTCCTCTCCATACATAATAATCAAAAAACAAAAAATCAGACTAAAGAAATAATATTAAGAGCAGCAAGGGAAAAAGTCCAAGTAACAAATAAATGGAGACCCATCAGAATTATTCCTGACTTCTTCATGGAAACTCTGAAAGCTAGAAGGTTTGGGATATATATTCTACCAACAATAAAAGACCAAGAATGCCAGCCCAGACTACTATAGCAAGTAAAAATTTCAATCACTATAGATGAAGAAAACAAGATATTCCATGATAAAACCAGATTTAAAAATACATATGCACAAATCCAGACCTACAGAAAGTTCTGGGAGGAAAATTCCAACCCTAGGTAGTTAACTGCACTCAGAAAAACATAGGTAGTAAGCAATCCCACTTTACCATAAAGCAATAGAAAAATAAAGGGGTGCAATAAACATCCAATACCACCACCACCAACAAATTCAAAACAAATAAGAATTAACAAACAATGTTCATTATTATCCAGAGATATTAATGGTCTTAATTCACTTATTAAACAACACAGGCTTACAAAATGGATAAGAGGACAGAATCCATCTTTCTGCTAATTACCAGAACATATCTCAACTTCAAAGACAGATGTTATCTCAGTGTAAAGGTTTAGGAAAATATTGCCCAATCAAATGAACCCAGGAAACAAGCTGGTATAGCAATCCTAGTATCTAACAAATTAGACTTAAAATTAAAATCAATCAGAAAGAAGGAGAAGGTCATTTCATATTCATCACAGGAGACTTCCATTAAGAAGAAGTCTCCCTTTGTCCTGGGTTTAGCACCTGAGGCTCAGGTGAGTCTGGGAGCTACTCTGACCATCAAACTATCCCAGCAAACACTGCTCACTTCTTCCTGAGCCCATGCAAACAAGAGTGTACCTGCCCAGACTTGAAGGCCCACCCTTATTCTGGACACACCTTATTCCTGTCTATACTGTGACCTCTGTCCTGCTGCTGACACCCAAGCCTCAGGTTAGTCTGTGTGCTGCTGTGCCCTCCCAACCTCCCCCATAACCCCCATCACATCCTTTCTGCCTGAGCTGACCACGGTAGGAGTGGACCTGTCCAGATCAGGAAGGCCCACCCTGAGTCAGGACACACCTCACCCTTGTCCACCCACCACCCTCTGCCATCTAGCTGCCACCAGAATCTGAGCCCTCCACCTGGCAATGGACAGGGGGAGAGACCCCACCTGCACTCACTGGAAGAATGGATGGGAAGAAGACAGAGTAAGAAAACACTCAACAACAGAAAGACCAATAGGACACCACCAGAATCTAGGGTACTCCATACCAGCAAGATCTGAAAAGCCCAACACAGAGCATGAAGAAGAGAGGGACCTCAAAAATTATCTTTGGGAGATAATAGAGTCCTTTAAAGACGAAACAAGAAAATCCCTTAAAGAAATAGGAGAAAAAACAAGCAAAAATTACATGAGATGCAGGAAAAGACAAACCAAAGAATTCAAGAAATTAACAAATCTCTCAAAGAATCTAAAGAAAGCCAAGGAAAAACCAAACAAGTGAAGGAAGCACTCAAAACAGTTCAAGGCATGAAAGCTGAAATACAAACAATAAAGAAAATACAGAATGAGGGGATGCTGGAAATACAAATGTTGGATGAATGATTAGGATGTAAGGATGTGAGTACAACCCAAAGAATACAAGAGATGAAAGAGAGAATCTCAGTTGTTGAAGACTCCCTAGATGATATGAAGACATAGGCCAAACAAAATCTCAAGTCTAACAAATCCTTAACACAATATATCCAGGAAATATGGGACACTATAAAAAAGCCGAACCTAAGAATAATAGGTATAGAAGAAGGTGAAGAAATACAGCTCAAAGGTACAGAAAACATATTCAACAAAATCATAGAAGAAAACTTCCCCAACCCACAGAAGGATATGCCTATGAAAGGGCAAGAAGCTTACAGACTACCAGACTGGACCATAAAAAGAAGTCCCCTCAACACATAATAATCAAAACACCAACCTTCAGAATAAAAAGAAAATATTAAGAGCAGCAATGGAAAAAGGCCAAGTAACATATAAAGGCAGACCTATCAGAAACACAACTGACTTCTCAATGGAAACTTTGAAAGCCAGAAGGTCCTGGATAGATATCCTACAAACACTAAGGGAGCATGGATGCCAACCCAGACTACTGTACCCAGCAAAACTTTCAATCACTATAGATGGAGAAAACAAGATATTCCAT